CCACATGTGGCAAGATCATCATTAGAAATGGAAATGACAATTGAAAGCCATTAGACTTCAAGGTGATTCATCTAAGAAAGATTAATCACACAATAGAGGCATATGTGCTATCATTTTTCCTTTTAAAAAAATGTTTAAGTTGAATTTTATGCCAATGTTTAAACTTAATTGGGTGTAAGCTTGAGGTGTTTGGGGGGTATGCTGTAATGGTTTTGCTGTAAAATGTTTGGAGCTCTGCTGAAGTGTTGCTGAAAAGTATGGTGCTGGTAAGAGTCCAGCAATCCCTGGAAATTCATTCTTGCTGACTCCCCTCCGCCTGAAGCAGGTCAGCTTTGAAGGTGGTACGAAAGGCTGCATGATGTTCAACTCTGTCCCTCCTCCCTCTCTTCTAGGCCTTCCTCCTCCCCTCGCCCCCCCTTGCTCAACCACTTTTGCTCATTATATGTTACTGTGAAGCTAATTTGTACTACTGGATATGTGACAGGAGCCTCGGGTTACAGATCTGTATTGTTCTTAGTGAAACACAGCGTGGAGTTAACATTAAACTTAAATACAACAAGCCTAAATGAAAAATGCCTAATATATTAGTCCTCCATCCTTTATACTTCTAAAATAAAATCTTTAGCCCAAATCACAAAACAAAAACCAACAGGGTTTTTTTTTTTTTTTTTTTTTTTTGCCAGTTGATACAATTTTTAATTAAAATGCAATAGCACAGGATATAAAAACACAAAGACTGCATAAATATTAAAGAAATTGAAAACCATTTTTTTTCCTGTAAACAGTTTTGCTTAAGAGCAATGTCCTGATCAGATCCTGGCTGGAGACTTTTGGCAGATGAGTGTTCAGCAAGGCTCTGCAGAGATGTGAGAGGAAAGCCAGGCAGTTGCCATGTTGACAGGCATGCAACTTGAGAACATTGCACAGCAAGCAATGCAAAGAATGGAGAAGGTCACCACAGCTCAAGGAGATATCACAACCTTCACAACTGTATACAGACAGACAGACCCACCCCTCCTTCCTTTCCATCACTGTGCCTCTCACACAGGGGACTCCTTCTGTGACTCTCCAGCTTGTCTGATGTTGTGTAGCCCCTTGATGGTTCTAGCATCTTTCGGTGGCAGAAATGCTATATTACATCTGGTCATTGGTGCTACCATCATTTCTAAGGTTCTTGTTACTGTCCTGAGGCTGTTTACAGTCTGGGCTGTGTCAGGAGGCATGCCTTCAGAAGGGGCCTGTGGCCAGCAAGTGAGCTTCCTGAAGGTAACCCACTGTTTTTGTTGATTTTTCCCCAAAGCTAAGTAATGGTTGAGCCCTGGTAAGGCAAAGCCCCAGAGACTTTATCTCTGAGTTGCTTCCTGATGCTGTTATGCTTTTCCATGCTTGTCATTGCTGCCTATCTCGTATATCTGGCATGGCATAGGGAAATCCTCACCACCTACACTCTGGTGTAACTGCTTCACTCTGTTGTGCAGATTTCCTGCAGATCAAGTTGAAGGCATACTTCGATGTAATAGTGCTGTTGAGACGAATTGTTGATTTTATAATTCTTGATAATGATTTTATAAAATTCTTGATTTCAAGTAACTTCAAGTCTCTCCTGCAGAAGAGCAAAAGCTGATAGGGATTCTGTGAACCTTCACATGTCACTGCCACATAAACTGCACTTGGGAGAAGAACAGGCTTGAGACAGATTTATGACCAAGATAAACATTTGCTCTAGGTTACAAGATGCTATCATCAGGTCTCAGTGTGCACCGAGATAAGAACCATGAACAGAAAACAGGCATTAGCTATACAAATAATAGACATTAGTTATAAATGACCTGTTTCTTGATAAAAATCCTCATTAACCTACGACTTAAAAAACTGCTTGTGGAATGAAAGAAATATTATGTTGAACAAATAATGAACTCATGGAGCCAAGAAATAGTTAAAATATGTTTAATCAGATGCAGTCTTTTTTTTCATTTTTATTTTTATTAATTACAGTTTATTCACTTTGTATCCCACCTGTAGCACCCTCCCTCTTCTCCTCCCAATCCTGCCCACCTTCCCTCTTCTCTATCTATGCCCTTCCCCCAGTCCACTGATAGGGGAGGTCTTCCTCCCCTTCCTTCTGATCCTAGCCTATCAGGTCTCATCAGGAGTGGCTGCATTGTCTTCCTCTGTGGCCTGGTAAGGCTGCACCCCCCTGAGGGGGAGGTGATCAAAGAGAAGGCCAATCAGTTCATGTCAGAGACAGTTCCTATTCCCATTACTATGGAACCCACTTAGAGAAGTTTGGCTGTAAGTCTCAGCATCTGCTTTGATACCCTGCTCGGTAGAGTATTTCAGAGGCCCTCTGTGGTAGGCTCCTGTCCTGTTCCGTTTTCTCCCTCTTCTGATGTCCATCCTCTTTGCCTTTCTGAATGAGGATTGAGCATCTTAGCTAGAGTTCTCCTCCTTGATTAGTTTCTTCAGGTGTACAGATTTTAGTATGTTTATTCTATATTATATGTCTAATATCCACTTATGAGTGAGTACATACCATGTGTGTCTTTCTGCTTTGGGATACCTCACTCAGGATGATTTTTTTCCAGTTCCTACCATTTGCCTACACATTTCATGATTTCCTTGTTTTGTATTGCTGAGTAGTATTCCATTGTGTAGATGTACCACAATTTCTGCATCCATCCTCAACTGAGGGGCATCTGGGCTGTTTCCAGCATGTTACTATTACAAATAAAGCTGCTACAAACATGGTTGAGCAAATGTTCTGTTGTGTACTTGAGCATCTTTTGGATATATGCCGAGGAGTGGTATAGCTGGATCTTGAGGAAGCGCTATTCCTAATTATCTGCAGTTCTAATTTCATAAACCTAAACAAATATAATATTGAAAAGTATATAGAGATTTTTTTCCCAATTCCATCTTCATTCCTTTGCACATACTTTTACTCATCTAGAATCCCTTTTCTCCTTTCTTCCTCCTCATTGGGACTCATCATTTGTTAATGAAAGTCTTACCTCTGAAGCAGACAATGAAAATTAATGTATGTTTTTCTGATAACTCTATAGACCAAAAAACATGTGATATTGTTTAGATTATCATCTGCATATTATCTTGTTTCCTCAAAAAATGATAAGTGACTTGAATAAAAAAAAAAAACATGTTACATTCCTTTTCTCTCCTAATTTTGTAACTTATTCTGTAAGTGAATTATATAAAACAAAAATTTTCACTACTCTATCTTATTTTTTAAAAGAACACATGTCTCTGGTGTTTCCTGGTAGTAAGCCTCATGATTATCCAGCTGTTCACATACTTAGCTGCCGTACAATCAGCTGGGCTTCAGAATTTTTCTTGCTGCAGCCTTGGAGCCTGAGTGACTCCTAACAAATCTACTTAACTCACAGAGCCAGCAGCCAGAAAATGCCTTAACCTTTAAGTGTTAATATGCAAATACTAGACTTCTCAAATTCCTCAGACCTGTGCCTGTTTCATTTACCATTGCATCTTAGTGTTTACTGAGGTTGGATAGCAAGTGAATTATAGATATTCAATAAACGACACAGGAACAGAAATATTTCCAAAATAGACCATGAAGTTGCAGTAACATTTGGAAATATAACTTTAATCTGTAGCTCTTCTATATTTTTCTTGTTATTTTATTTTTTGTATTATACAAATAATAAGCAGTAATTATAGAAAGCATCTATCCAGAGGCCAGTGTGAGGCCTCAGAAACAAGCGTCAGTTGGACATGGAGCCAAACCTCATGACCTCAGTGCCTTTCCTGAAATCCAACACGGGAGGAGAAAACTGATACCCACAGGATGTCCTCTCATCTCCAAACATGAGTGTGTGCCCACACACATAGACAGATATGTAAACTTAGCAAGTTTTCTCAACAAGGAAACACTGACTTTGTAAAATAAAATTAAAAAGCCCATAATTACTTAAATTATACAATCCACATGCAACTACTACAAACATCAGGGAAGGACCATCAATTTACACAGTAGTATGTATGTTTACTATTCAGTATCAGAATAGCAAGCCAGCAAAAAGTCATGGTAAGATTACTTATTGATGGGTGCATTGATATCTGTGTCAGTGATCTTTGCAATACTGTTATTTCAATTTTTGGCAATTATAAGCAATGATATGATAAATAAAATTCATCACAAATGTCCTCACTTAAACATATCCTTAGAATAAAGTGCAGGAAGTAAGACCACTACTTTTAGAAACCACGCACAGTTTTACAGCCTGTAGTAAGTACATGGAACCATAAATGTTTATGCTGTTGGGTTTGACGCAGTAGATCAGCAGATAAAGTGCTTGCTGGGGAAACCTTCTGACAAGTTAAATCCGCATGACCTCTGTAAAGATGGATGGAGAATACTGAATGCTGAAAGTGGCCTTCTGCCTTGTGCATGTATGTGGGTTCATGTTAACACTCACATATGTGCATGTGCACGATACTCACTCATGCACTAATGAAACATATTTTAACATTTGTTCTATTTTAGCATGCCTTCAAGAACTATGAGTTATATAAAACAACAAGCAGTTTCTTGGCTATATTATTTCTTTTTTTGTGGAGATATGCATTTTATTTTTATATGGTTATAATTACAGTTATAATAAACATATTATCCCACAGGACTTTTGGATATTAATTTTTCTTTTAATTTATATTTTAATTTATAACAATTTATTCATTTTGTATACTAGCTGTAACCCCCTCCCTCAGACCCCACCCAATCCTTCCCTCCCTCTCTCTTTTCCTCCTTTGCCCCTCTCCAATTCAACTCAGTGGCTAGTTCTTTGATCACCTCCCCCTGAGGGTGGAGGCAGCCTCAGCAGGCCACAGAGGAAGACAATGCAGCCAGTTCTGATGAGACCTGATAGGCTAGGGTGAGATGGAAGAGGAGGAGGCTATATCATTTCGTAATGAGTCACAGATATTAGAATATAACAAAATGAATGATACCATTGAAAAATACTCACATTCATTTTGAGAGGAGGTTTCATTTTGGAGAGGTCTGAATTCATAATATGGTAGCTCATGCTTGAATATAGATGCAAGAACACTATCAAGCTCTTCAATGCTTTTCTGTTTTCAAATGAAAAAAGAAATTTAAAATTAGCTGATAGGATTCTCATGTTTCAGCGAATGGCCTCACACCATGCACATATAGGTAGCACTAACTAGAGAGTGGGTTATAAAAAAAAAAAAAAAAAGAAAGACATGAAGTAGGACATATTGGGGAGACATGAGACTTGGAGATAGAAATGGGGATCACATTTCACCATACATATGTACAAAAACAAGGAGAAAAAGACAAATGAAAAAAAATAGCATCTACCCAAAAATTAGGAAGTTAGGTGGATGGTAGCATGATGATTCTAAGCAACGCTTTCATTCTCTCATATTTTTAGCCATAGATTAGTTATGCACCTGGCCTCTATGAGTGATGCCTCTTAGTACAGTGGGTGGCAGTTAGTTCCAAAACCCATAACTAGCCAAAATACTGAGAATAGGTGATGCTGGAATAATAGGCCGTAAGTGTAACAGCCCTGCCAAGGCTCAGGAAACGTTGCAGTGTAAGAGCCAGAAGCCCGGGAGATGTACAGAAAGGGATGCCTTCTGGATTTGACAAACTTGTTGCACTCAAATCACATCAGCTGTGAGTATCTGCACAATACTGATCTAGGATCTAGGCAATATTTCATCAGAGATGGGGAAGGTGCTCATGGGGTCCAGCCTCTCCCTGATGGCAGCTAACAGTTGTTCATGGATAGAACATTATTTTCTTCAGTCATGACACCACTTATATTTATTCAGAAAAAGGGAGGAAAATTGGATAATTGGTGACTTACAGAGTTATGGGTACTCCCAGCCACATTGATTTACTTTTATTCAGGAAATCAAAAGCTATCTACAGCTATCTTCATATATTTCATGTCTAAACTCTCACATGACTACATTTAGTGATGATAGGTTAGAACCTGTCTTGTGGAGCAGTGCATCTCCTAGCCTTCATCAAAGGGTCTTCTTCTAGCAGTAGATAGTAACATAAAGACTCTCAACTGGTCAATGTACAAAGAATAATAGACTGGAAAGTTGTCTGCCCTAAAGGGGATATACATCCTGTGCTGGCTAGTTTTATGTCAACTTGACACAAGCTAAGCCATCAGAGAGGGGTCCACCACAAGATGATAATAAAGGGTAACAGCATTAGGAAAGTTGAGAAGCATTGCTGAAGATGGTTAGGCAAAGTCTGAGTCTTTCTCTCTGTCTCTCTGTCCACCTCTAAGAAGTGGTGTTTTGAATGGACAGGTTTTCAGTAAAAGAAGTATCATATTCTCCTTAGTCAGCTTAATTTTTCTAGTTTTTAAATGAACCATTTCCTAGCACTGTGACCATGAACACTGAAATAATCACTAAAACTCAAGGCAACTTAAGACTTATTTCAAATTTTGAATGTGTTTTTGCCGATTAGATGTGTGTAGAGTCCTCCCTTAAATGACATGCAAATAATCTGACAGGAAAAAATGTTTTGAAATCCTGCTGTGCTAGGTCTTAGTTGTGGATTTTAGTAATATATAACTGATACATGATATGAGAACACTGGTGAGTAACTGAGTGAAAGTCAGTAATGATCATTTGCTTGTCTCTTTCTGATGGACTTCTTAAATGTCAATGAAATGGAGTCACCCCAACCTAGACGGGAGTCTGCCCAGCATCCTATGGAAATGGCTTTTCACAGTAGCTTTTCTCTGTTCAAACAAACACATCAGTCTGTTTTCATTCCTAACATTTTAAGCTGAAAACACATAGCTTTTAAAGTATTTAGAATGTAAGTTTTGCTACTGTAATACAGACATGAAAAGGGACAATGGCTTAAACAAGACAGAGTCCAGTGCCTTTTAATCATAAAAACCACCAATTCCAGTCCAGAGTTAACATAGTGGCTTCCTGTGACTGGGGGTCTAGGCTTGTGTGAGGATAGGAGGCTTTACAGCTTTCTATTGTCTTTACAGTTAAATATGGCTTGTCTATTGCTCCCAGGTTGGCCTTTCAATAGAACAGACAGTGGCTGGAAAGCATGACTCTCTGTTATGGATGCTTCTAAATTTGCATGTGGCTGTTATGGACATGCCATGCCATTAAGTTTTACTTAGACCTATGACTATTTCCTGGCTTCAGAGAAGGAACTCTAATATTATCTGGCTGGACGTGAAAGTTGTACCATAATATAATTAATGCTCTTAATGAGAAAACAGACTAGAATCTACAGCTCATTTTTATCATAATCATCAACTGAAGTATAAAGACGCTGACTTCCTAATTCTCATCTATTACCAATAATTTTGTAACAACTTATTGCTAAGTATGTAGTGAATTAAGACAAGATTTTATTTTTAATTATTTAAGACCTTTATTAACAGGTGCTTGTAGCTTGTTGACTTTTTTGAAAAAAAATCAAGTTGTAAACTTATTACAAATTAAAAATTAAGTTCTTAAAAATCTCAACTTGTCCAGATATGAAACAATTTAAAAACCATTAAAGGTGTATTGAGAAAAACCAGCAGCCACCTCAACATCAGTATCGCCACAACTTCAATTACCGATGCAGATGCCCAGAGAACCCTAAACCACAAGACGGCAAAGAAACAAAAGCAGCTGATCCACCAGCTAAGAATTTGTCCACTCCCGAGGCTAAGAATGGCAGGGCTGAGTAAAAGCTGACTGACCGTCTCTACCGTCATCCGGTTTGGCCATCCAACAAGAAGAAATGAGTATGAAATTCCAGCAATAAGTGAGGGGAACAAGGACTATTTCTAACAGGAACTCAATGACTGGCTCTTTGGCCTCCCCACCCCCACAAGGGAGGAGCAGTCCTGTTAGGCCACAGAGGAGAGCTTTGCAGCCAGTCCTGAAGATACTTGATAAAACAGGATCAGATGAATGGGGAGGAGGTCCCCCCTATCAGTGGACTTGGAAAGGGGCACAGTGGAGATGAGGGAGGGAATGAGGGATCGGGACACGGCTGGGATACAGAGTTAATAAAATGTAACTGATAAGAAAAAAATAAAATTCAAAAAAAAAAAAAAAAGAAAGAAATGAACAAAGACTGGACCGGAAGACCTAAGTGCTTGCTTGCTTTTTGCCCGTTGACCAGATACACTAGAACCAGCTGCATTATCTATGCAGCATGGGGGTTTTATTATTTTTACCGAAAGATGTCTCTTTTTGGTAATGACAAATGTGATTTTTAAGAAAAAAAAAAAAGGACAAGATTTTAAATAAGTATAACACTAACATATTCAAAGAAGTATCTTTTGAGAATGGCTTATAAAATAACAGTGCGATTTCCTAAAGGAGTTTCTGCATTTTTCTTTTGGCTTGTTTGGAGAGCTGTTTTCCAATCGTGTGACAGCATTTGAAGGAACAGTACTTCCGTTCCTTCAATCATTTTCCTTGACCATTTCCTTGGTGGTGTTACACTTCCTGCCTCCACTAAAAGTGTTAATATCTTACTTAGACTCCTCTAATGTCAAAAAGTCTGTGCCTGTGTTACAGCAGCTGTTGGAACATAGCCCTGATTATTTGGTGACTTGAGATTAGGAGGAGACACTTAATGTTCAGTTCACTGACCTTCTCTTTCATTTGTCCAAGAAAGTACATATCAAGCAATCATATGCTTAGCAATATCTGTGGTTCTGCAGATAACACAAAAAGACAAATAGGCAATTTTGTGCTTTGGGGCCTTGAATATGACAGACATTAATTTGCTAAATAGTAAACATCTAGATGTCAAAGTTGGAGTACATCAGTATTAAGAAAGGCTACATTAGGAGATCAGGGAAAATGTCACCAAGCAAAATACACTGGAATATAAATTTTACAATGAACTAAGTGAGGTTAGTGATTTCAGTAAAAGGAGTTGTGTAAAGGTGTTGTGACAGAGTACAGGACATGGTCCAAGAGACAAAATCCAATATACTAGATAGATAGAGGAAGAGTGAGATTAACTTGGAGAAAAAGAGTGAGATTAACTTGCTGAGTGTCAGCAAAGCTATATGCTCTTGTAAAACATTTCGTGTGTGTGTGAGTTGGATATGTTTCCGCATATCAGGGTGTATGCACATGGAAGCTAGGGTTCACCATCGGTTGCCTGCCTCATTGACAACCACCTATCTTTTTCAGAAAGGGTTGCTCACTGAATCTCAGAGATCATCAATTTGGCAGACATCTCCCTTTCTTTCGTTTGTAAATGCTAGAAGAGGTCAGTCTGGACGTAGACTAGAGATGAGCAGAGAATGGAAAGTGTGAAGGTGGCAGCCATAGGAGGCTGATTAGAGGGTACACAAAAACACAGACTGAAGAGGTAAGTTCTGATGGCCACAGTGTAGTGCCCACAGCTAACCATAACCAACTACATGCTGTGTGGAGGACATTAGGAGAGGAGACTGCAGTATGCAAATGAGCAATGACACAGAGGGGTAAATGCTGATTTTATCAGTATGCGCTGGACACATGTTAGAATACCATATCATGCCAACTCAATGTATAAAATTATGGCATTTTAATTTAAATAGAAGACATGGAGAGCCTCCACATGGTTTGCAGGTCGAACCTCTTTAAAGGAAAATTGTTCTAATCTAGTAATCCAATATTTCATCTTTTAACATACATTTATGGAATATTTGAGTTTGAGGAAACCACAGAGAGCAAGTGTTCTAGATCATCCACTGGACACTGGAAAAAGTCCTTCAGCATGAAAGAAACCCATCTCCTGTAAAGTGTCTGATTGCCATTTTAAGAAGAAGTTACAACGCATGCCCGGGATCCATCCAAATCTCTCCATGGCCACGTTGCGACCATTCAAAAAGAAATGATAATATGGAGCCATTCAGAAGACTGCTGAGATCTCAGGCATTTCTTCATGATATTTTCTTAAGGATCATAGTAGAGACAAGACAGCCTCTGCAAATACGCTAAGTCAATAGCCAAGGGTACTAACTCATGACCCGTTACTGTAGTGAAAGATAAAGATAAATTACAGCACACTTTGTCCTCTGCCTGGTGAGAAGTAGGTTATTTTATATATGAGCCGCAAAGTATTTTTAGGGGGTAGTTTCACTTCTCGCACTATCTCCTTTGCATACTCGGTCTATACTTTTTCACTAAGTTATTCAAATAGTATTAGAGAAAAAGCTGTCACTTGAGTTCTCGTTACATTCTGAAGTAATAAATACTAGTTGTGTCCCATACACAAAGAAGCAACTGTGTGCAAGGCAGTGGCTTTTACAAAGATGGAAAACACAAGCCATCATTTCACCAGGTGTATTGGGTGGCAGGAAGAGTACTGCTAGAATATATTTTTGCATAAGCAGAGCACACATCAGCCTGAAAAAAAATACAAAAGTTTGAAGGATCATCCAGTGAAGAAACTTGAAGGAATACTCTGACAAGAGACGGTCCTGGAAAAAGACTTGGGACCCTGTATCACGTACATAGAATTTGAACATTCCTGTGACTTGAGACATTAAAAGTTGGCTGCAAGTGAGCACTCAGGATAACTCTGGTCCTGCTCCCTGCGTTTGTACCTTTCATCACACGGGGCTGGTAAAAAGAGGAAGGTTTGTGTCAACATTTTGAGACAGGCAGGCATCTAATGTAAAATTTAGAAAATTGCTAGAAAGAGAAGGGGGTTCCCAGAAGAGAATCTTCAGAAGAAACACTTCTGAGCACAAGCTTAAAACTGGGTAAAGAAATTTCTCTTAAGGAAACTATTAGTACACAGTGTTAGTTTTCCAAGCCAGGACCTTTCCTCACTCCAGCCCTTCTGACTATAGTGTTGGTGGTAATGTTCTCATCACTGAAACAAAATGGCTGAGAGAAGTGACAAGGGGGAAAGTGTTGGCTCATCTCCTCAGAGGTTTCAGTTGATGGTCGGCTGGCTTTACCAGCCTGTACCAAGGCAGAGACACCATGCGAGAAAGGTGTGGCAGAAACCAGCTGCTGCCCTTGGTAGATTAGATGCACAGAGAGAGAGAGAGAGAGAGAGAGAGAGAGAGAGAGAGAGAGAAGAGCATGGTCTAAGGACAAAATCTGTCCTTAAAGGGTGCATCCCAGTAATCCAAAGTTCTTTTAAAGAACAAGATAATTAATAATTACTATATTCTTTTAGCATTTGACCTAGTTTCACTTGTATACCTTATTTAGTGATTTCTTTAAAATGTTAACATTTGGCAGTTTCCAAGACACTTGTTTGAATAGGATGAAAGCCTCACAGGTTTTAATTATCTCAGTTAAAGAGAAATTACAGTATTTCTACCTCCAGCATTTGAATCTTAATTATCCCCCCAAACTAACTTTAGATTTTTAAAATTTGAATAGCTCATGCTCTCTGTTTTAAGTGATGACCAGAAGTTGAATCTTTACTAGGCTTTGTACTGTGATTTTATTATTTATCACTCTGGAAAAAAAAAAAAGACGAACTGACTTAAGAAGTAGATCATTAAATTGAGGTAAATTGTTCTAAAACCTAATGGACATCACTAAAACAAAACAAAATCAGTTCTTTCATTAAATCTTTATCAAAATGTATAGACTGCTTGTATTAGTATGAGTTCCATAGCTTTTGAATGGCATATAAAGTCTGTTATTGTGAGTTCTAGGAAAAGTGAAAAATAAAACCCACAGATTTCTCATTAATTACTCTTTCCTCAAGCTAACACTGAGTTTAGGCTATTGTATGTCCAATAGCATTTAAATGGCTATAGAAGGATCTTGTTAATAATTTCAGGATTACTGAAATCATATCTGCCATTCAACCATGTACAGAAATTCAAAGCAGTCTTTCCAGTATGCTGTTTCAGCCAAGCAGGCAGGGTATTGACAAATTCATACTTGTTAGTATATTTTCTTTCAAATAAACAATAATTATGGGTGAGTATGATTGCAATGTGTATTGAGTTTTAAATAGAAGTATTCAGTGGGCCATTTGCAAAGTACACAAATTATTGAGTTTAGTGTCAGCATCATAAAAAGAAATAATCACTGTAGTTCTATAGAAACTCACCAAAGCGGTTTGTACACAACTTCCCTTAAAAGGCACCAAATAAATGTCTTGGCAGTTCCTCCTCCATCAAATGTAGGATCTTTCTTACGGTGAGTTTGCAGATAATGTGTGCAGACATAGAGGAACCCCGGTCCACATGTAGTCTATGCTCTAGGGAAAGGAACTGAAGTACAGCTATTCTTTCTAGCCTCTGATAGAAGGTTTGGGCTAGCCTAGGGCACAGTGTACTTGCCTAACCCTCCCCCAGTACTTTCTGGGCCCTGAGGTCAGTAGCAAAACCTCCACATCTCTCGATTCAGGAACATGAACCCCGACTGTCATGTCTCTCTTTGCCAGGTGGAAGTTTGGTGTCTATAAGCTAGACTAGTTCTGCCTTTGGAGGCTCAGTATACAGGCGGATCCTCACAGCAAGGCTGCATCTAGTCTGTCTTCCTGCTACAGGCTCCTGGGCTTGGCGGATGGAAACTCTATGACACAGCCACAGTCCTTTCCCGCCTCTCATTTTAGACACAGGGTGAAAATAATAAATCAGAGGTTTTTTTCTAGTTTCCTAAAATCATCTTGTTTACTTTAAGCTAGAGAGGAAATCAACTGCACATTAGTTTATTCTAAAAAAAAAAAATCTGTCCAGAAGTCAAATATTTAATTTTCACTATATACAAACTGCCTCCTGGCATTAAATCCAGTACAGATATGTATTTGGAGAGTACGGTATTCTACTCCAGCTGGAGACAGAAAGCTGCATATCCCCATTATTACATTCTAGTTATGAGTAGTAGAATTTTCAGTACAAGGTAGACTTGTCACAAGAAAATGAAGCAATCTGTATTTCAAGCTATTATGTTTGCACTTGTTTTGTGACTGCAAAATAGACATTTTGTCAAATGTCCTCAGACTTCCAAGTCTGAAAAATGGTATTTCACTCTCTGTCCTTTTCTAAGACATTTGCCTTTTCCATTGTTCTAAAATGTGCCACTTGTCACAGAATATGCCAAAGAAGAAAGTGTAAAAGAAGTAAAGCCTCCAGTGTCGGTCACATAAGGCTCATGGTGGTCTATCAACATCATGTCATTGACAGTCAAACTGACCGAACCAACACTCCCTTCCCTTCCACTCCCTCCTGACCTTCTCTCTCCGCCAAGACAATTAAGCAAAGTTTGTACTTCTAATTGTCAAGTAGCAAAAAGTTTTGTACTTCTTATACAACATCAAATCTTATAAATGTTCTACTTCACATTAAAATATGTATTTCACTTTGATACTCCATGGACTAAATACGTAAATGATACCTTTTCATAAAAAAACAGATTTCTTCCTATTAAAGCTGGGTCAAGTTTTTTAAAAAGTGCAGAAACCAAACTAACAGCTTAAGCTGTCTGAAAACTCTTCAAAATTCTTTCATATGTCCAACACTGAGAAGAAAAAGTCCCAAGTATGGCCTCCTTCAAGGAGGCCAGCAATACATCATGAAATCCCCATCCCTGAGCAAGATTTTTGCCACATGAGAGGAAAGATCTGGGCATTAGAGCGCTTTTTCACACCACACAGATGGTGTTTGTTTGTCTAGACTTCTTTTTAATTTGTTTGTATTTTTTATAAAGTTTCTCCACGTCACAGCTCTGGCTGTCCTGGAACTCACTCTGTCAACCAGGCTGGCCTTGCACTCACTGAGATCCTCCTGCCGCTGCCTTCTAAGTGCTAGGACTGAAGGCATGTGCCACCATGCTTGGCTCATATAGAATTCTTAATGAACATTCTTACTGTCAGGTAACAGAGAGAAATGAAACTAAGATCAATCTAATAATGTCCATGTGAACATTGTTAATAGACACATTTTCCTCCCAGGTTCCCCCTGTTTGGGAGTAGCTTGGTTTGTCGGACATGGTCTTAAAACATCTGATACTGATTTTGTTTTGTTTTGTGTCGCTCACATCTGAGCAAAGAAATTCATTTCTCAATGGTGCTCCTTGATTCTCTCTCTTCTATTACACATCTGTTGCATAACAGCCTGAAATTGAGCCTGACCCATAGCCATGTTGGAATTTACAGGCTGTCTCTGGCTGGCATTACCCGGGAAGGCTTGACTGAGGCAAGGTCATTTGTCTGTATCTCTGAACCTCAGAGGATGGCTTCCTCCCTTCTTGGGGATCGTCTGTCCACTCATAGCCCACCAAACCAAAAATCCTCTCTTTGTTTCTGCATTAGCCCTTTAGCATCTGCTGTGATTATCAACGTACCTGGCACACACTCTCGCCTGGGTCTGACATTCTAAGCGAACTTTGTGTTGCTTTTGCTGCTGAGCAGTATTTAATCTCTGTTGTGGCCTTGATGATTCCATCACAGTGGATATTGACAGTGACTGAACCTGCTGGAAAATCTTACAAAACACAAACAAAAGAGTTCAGAGCCAAGCTTAATGTGCACATTGTATCATTATGAGCTAGGCTACCAAGGAAGCCTTTGTGAAGTTCTAGCATTTAACTTCTAGCATGTAAGATTTTTTCTGTATTTAGAGCTTTAAAAACACAAAATGTACACTCTTAGATTAAAGAAACCATATGCCAAAATTATGGAAGCAAATTACTATTTCTCCCTGTTGATATACTTTGTGTAAGGATGTAAATAATCTTTACATAATTAATTAGCATTCAGCAATCAGAATCTATTCTTTAAATTTGGGTATTTGTTTTAATATTATGAAAAAGAAATCAAAATTAATTATATGTAAGTTTTAGAAATTTTGTATAGAGGTAAAATTTATTGAGATTCCAGAAAATGCAGCAATTAATCAGAATGAGAAATCCAGGGGAAAGCAAGTATATTCAGAATCTCCAGGATAACCTCTGTATACTCTCTTCCATTATCCATCCATCCAAAATCTTTCTGTGAACAATTTGTGGAAAATGACTGACAAGCTGTTCCTTGAATTCCACTTTAATATACCAACAGAATTAAATTTACATTAAAAAATCTGGGGGCTTATATTAAAAAATAAAAATAAATAATTGTACAATTAAAAAGTAATATTTTAGTGTAACAAACATAAGTAAAAGTTGCCTTTGGATCTATTTGAAGGACAGAGTTTAACAACTTTTACTCTGAAATTCATATATTTCTCAATTTCTTCTGAAAAAAATGTCATCCAATATTGGGGGTTCAGAAGAAGTCTAATAAAAAGACCAACATACTGAACAGCTGAGAATGAATGTTTAAGTTTCTTAACAGGCACTAATTTTGAACCATTTTGTGAAGACATTAATACACCTCTTATCATTTAGTTCAGGTAAATCCAAAGCCAGCAAAAGGAATCTTAAGCCAAACAAGATCAAGGAGAAAACTTCCATCTTCACATTCTTGGAATGATATTTAGACTGTATTATAAAATGATACCTGCCAAAAGTATCATCATTTTCTCAAAAAAAAAAAAAAATAGAATCGACCTCCAGCAGGGAATAAGAAAAATCACAACAGAGTGAATGTTATAGTGTACATCTCATGAGCTAATGTGCTGGACACCTGGTTAAGAGGAAGTTGACATTGCCAGAGCCAAATAAATGTGATTTCATTAGATTTTATATAAAACCCAGCTTAAAACACTGCAAAACTGTTTTCCAGAATAATAATACTCATGAATCATAAACTAAACAGAAATGTACTGATCAATTGTTTCTTTCCCATGAAAGCTCAGCATAAGCGGCCATGTCTCCTGATGGACTTTTAATGATCTTTTCATGAGATATGAAGCTATAATTTATGTTATCTAGAGCACAGTTTCATAATTAATAAAAAGAGTCAATATTTTGTTCATACATTGCATATTTCTCTCAACTTTTAATTAGTCTCCTCCCTGCTGTTCAGTTTGTTTCCTCCTGGTATTGCGAGTACCAGAGGAACACTCTGTTTCTTCTGCATAGAAATTAGTTCATATTTCTAGTTGAAAACTTGAGCGTGCTTTTAAGACTTTGCTATAAGCTAGAACTGTAGTAATTTTAAATTGCATCGGTCGTATATACCATTAGGAAAAATTGGGTCCCTGGAAAAATCAAGTGATTAGAGAAACATTAAATTATTAAGCTGAAAAGATGGGGGTGGGACGCAGCAAACCAGAGGGCATTCTTACAGGTAAAAACCTCAGACTTTGATGCTGGAATAGGTCAAAGGGAAAGAAACGGTACCTAGTAAAAGAGGATGGAAATTTTCTTCCTTCTGAGCATCACTGAATATGGCACTGGATTTTTATCTATCTATCTATCTATCTATCTATCTATCTATCTATCTACTTACTTACTTACTTACTTTGGCACTGTTACCAGCTGAAAACATGTGGTAGGGGTGTTATCTCTTGTAAAATTAAAAAAAATATATTTATTCAGTTTAAGATTTAGCTCAGGTCAAGTTCCAGAAAGGAGTAGCACCATGTGGCAATCATCTTTCTTTCTTTCTTGCTTCACATAACATTCTTTATTTTCATCCAGCTTGTTTCATTTTCTATATGGTTGAGTAATATTCATACAAATTCACATAAGTTAGACATTTTCTTTATCTAGTTCTCTCTTAATGAGCATGGAGGTTGATTTCGTTCCTTGGCTATTGTGAACGGTTCTGCAATCGATATGAGAGAGCAGATTCCTCCTCCTCACAGTTATTTTTCCTTTGGGGTAGTTCCCTGATTGGAACTGCGGGATAGATTGCAAGGCTTTCTTCAGTTTTATGGAAGTATTTATGGAAGGCTTTCCTTCCATAATACTGTACTGCTATATTCTCACCAACAGTGTTCTCTCCTACACATCCTAATTAGGATTTGTTACTTTTTGTCTCTTTGGTAACAGCCTTTCTGATACAGGAAATGGTGAGCCATGATGCTGTCATTGTATTCTCTAACATTGGGGATCCTGAGCATTTTACCACATATTTTCTATCATTTCTTTTAAGTGTCTATTTATAGGATTTTCCTATTTTTTTTTTGTCATTGGAAATTTATACAACATATTTTGACCACACATTTCTCTTTCCTGTCTTCTCCCTTCTCCTTCCACGTCTATGTCTCCTTTCTCTCTCTTAAGGAAACAGGCAAGTAATAAAAACAGGAAATAAAACAGAATTTAAAAACAACAACAACAATAAAAGTATAAGACATAACAGTACTGCTCTGTTATTGAGTTTTATCTATTTTTTGGATAATAATCTCTTATCAAATAATTTATAAATACTTTCTCAACTGTTATAGCTGACTCTTGATTGCATCAATCATTTCTTTTGCTGTGTTAAAATTTTACTTTAATTTTATTTGTCTATTTTTGTATTTCTTGCCTATACTTTCAAGTATCTTATTTTTAAAAAGTTAACCCATCTCAGTGTTAAAATGTTTTAAAAAATTTCCTTTTAGTTGTTTCCCGACCTTTGTTGTATTGTATTCTTTCTCCCACTCCAGGGTTAAGTATAACAAGTAAAAACTGTAACTAATGTGGCTACTTTTATTTGACATCTTGATCCACTACTTGGGAAGTATTATTTAAATACTTCTTAATTTGTAATATTGGCCTTTCGTATTGATTTATTTTAACTAGATTTAGTTTGAAATCTGGTACTAATTACTCAGACATTATTGTTCATTAAATCATTTAAATATGTGACATAGAGTAATAGGGGCTGGGAACAAGAAAGTAAAAGAAGAGACAGAGAGAGCTCTTCCCATCACATTTACGCATGTTTCTCCACAACAAGGAGCCATGTCTGAATGTTCGCTTCTGGAAACTAAATTCCAATGAGTGAGGAATCCATAGAAGAGTTACTCACTTTAATAAACAATGCCTGCTTGTAAATGTAAATGAACTGTATAATCATGAGCTCAAGATTTACCTAACACACTTCACAATCATAAATATTTTCTATTTCCACATTTATAAGATTAAATACCTTTTTATATAAAATATTTACAAAGTTCATATAAAATAAAAACAAATAGTCTTACAATTAAAAAAACACTTCTTTTTATTTTCACTCTTTTAAATTTTGTGCATGTATGTACATCTGTGTGTGGGTACATGCATGTGAGTGCAGGTTCCTGTGGAAGCCAGAAGAGGGTGTCAGAGTCCCAGGAGCTGGAAATATAGGAAGTTGTGAGCAGGGAATCTGTGCTGGGAATCAACCTTGGGTCTTCAGTGAGAGCGGTATGTATTCTTAACTATTCAACCATCTCTCCAGCACCAAGTATTTCTCCATTTATGTAAAAACTTTCCAAAATTTATAAGTTAATTTTTATTTTACTATAAGTGTAATGAACTGTAAGCACTTTTGGCTATTCTGTGTAAAATTTGGAATTCAACACAGCTTAGCATAGAGCAAAGATGAGTAATCAAATGATTAACTTCACAAATAATATAAGAAAATGAGAAAAAAATATCTGTTGAAGTGCTGTCATGATTAGAAAATACAGCGGTCTTTCCTGAGACTCATACTCCAACCAAGTACCATGCATGGAGATAACCTAGAACCCCTGCACAGATGAAGCCCATGGCAGTTCAGTGTCCAAGTGGGTTCCATAGTAATGGGAATAGGGACTGTCTCTGACATGAACTGATTGGCCTGCTCTTTGATCACCTCCCCCTGAGGGAAGAGCAACCTTACCAGGCCACAGAAGAAGACAATGCAGCCACTCCTGATGAGACCGAACAGACTAGGATCAGAAGGAAGAAAAGGAAACCCTCCCCTACCAGTGGACTTGGGGAGGGGAGTGTGTGGCAAAGGGGGAGGAAGGGAGGAATTGGGAGGGAAGGAGGGAGAGAAATAGAGGGGGGATACAAAGTAAATAAAGTATAATTAAAATAAAAAAGATAATAAAAAAGAAATAAATGTATTTTATTTAAAAGTAAAAAATAAAACAACAACAACAAAAACCAAACAAAAAAGAAAATACTGAAAAAGAATTATGTTTTACAAAACAGCCAAAAATTTTCCAATGCTAGGAATGGAGACAGAAGTAAAGGAAACAAAATTCTTTACTAAAAATTAAATATCAGTGGATCCTCATGTTACATAAGGAAATATTTTAATTCTGTATTTAATAGCTACTATATGTCAAAATATTCTCCACTGACATATTTAATGATGTTCGATGTTACTGGTTGCCATTTCCCTAAATGGTATACAAACCAAGTTCTAAAGATTTACACAATCTCACTTTTGCAAATCAGATTAATAATAACAATGTTGACCACGTGAGAATTAACACAGGAAGCACCTGCAGAGCAAACTCGGTTTCTGTAGGGAAGTGAAACCATTTATCATAAATCACAGGAAAGGACCTCAGGGAGAGGCTTTATTCTTATTAAAACACAGAAATTCTCACCTGCAGCTTTCATTTGCCAGACGCCCTTATTCCACTGTGCTGGCCGTGTTCGGAGGCACTTGCTGTGTGATATAAATTCAACTTCCAGAATTTCACCAATTAGGTCATCTTTCAACAGAATGAATATCTCTCCAGGATTCTTAAGGTAAAAATGCTATATGTTAAGCATTTCAAAGATTTGTTCTTCACCAAAGTGCCTGCTACATTAGTGATCAAAATCTTACACTGTCAGTAAATAAGTCTGCCCTATTTGTGTTTTCAACCATGTCCAGATATAAACACATAAACGCCTGGCTCGTTGCATTTTACATTTATCACTTTGATATCTATCAAATCCTCTTCCATCCCCAAACCATGCTTTGCAACTGAGAAACAGTGAGAACATAAGTTATGTAATTTACCCTTGCCTCTTCCTGTACCTGGCTTCCCACTGTAGGGTATCAAACCCATTATACAGACTAGCAGATTGACAGTAATTAAGCCAGCAGGCAATTCCTTTCCCAAGGACATTCTCTTGACATTTTAACAGTTTCATTTCCCTTTCTCTGTATGTGTGTGTATGTGTGTGTGTGTATGTGTGTGTGTGTTTGTGTGAGTGTTAGTGTGTATGTGTGAAAACAAATTTAACTTTAGGACCTCTAGCAATTAAAATATAATAAAAAATCTTAATGTTGTATAGCTCCACAGTTTGTATAGTAGAATTTCTCTGGGTATTTGCTTACTTTAGGGACCATGAGGGCTTCTGAGATGATGAAAGTTACACGACTAAAAATTTCAAGCTTTAATTATGTTGGAGAAGTGTGATCTGTGAACAAAGGTAATAATATGGAGACCACAGTTTGGGGACTAAATCCAGAACAATTACTGCAATTGGGAAGAGTGCAGTTAATATAGACATTAAGAATGGATAAACACTTTTGGATGTCCATCTCTTTTATAGACATTATGATAAACACCTTTTCTATAAAGACATTTTCTTGAACCCAAATAGATATCCACACATATGTACACATAAGCACACACATATTCATACAAATAGACAGACACGTGTATGCATGCAGTGCATACACACACACATAAATACACAAGCACAGACAGGCTCACACACACATGTATACACGCTCACACACACCCTGAAATGGAGAAAACTACAGCTGTTCTCTGTCACAAGCAGAGCAATTTAGGATTATATTATAAAAACTGTTAGGAATTATAGGGCTGGAGAGATGGCTCAGTGGTTAAGAACACTGCCATTCCGAAGGACCCGGGTTCAATTCCCAGCACCCACATGGTAGCTTACAACTGTCTGTAATGCCCATAAAATAAAGTTAGATAAATAAATAAAGTGCAATTCTTTAAAAAAAATTATATAACTTTCAAATCCACATCATTCCTTATATTCTGCTTTTCGACTCTGAAAAGTGAAATATTTTATGACTGTCTCTGCTATCATCTCTTAAAAGCTGTTGTCATAGTAAATTCATCCTGACGATATATAGGAAACTCGCTGATATGCTTTCATGATATCATATATATTAAAAAGCTATCGATTTAAATTTTCTTACAGTGTTGTTGCTTTAGGCAGGATCTCACGCTCATAAAACTTACATCTTACAATGTTATACCAAGGCCTTTCTACAAGTGGTATGTTAATACGCTCAATCATTTACCTGACACCAGGTACACTTTAGGCATCGCCCATCCGTCACAGTCACAACCCAAATATTTATCCAAGTTTGATTTAATTTTCTCTTTAACAGCTATACACAAAGAGAACAGATCCTGCCTCAAAGAAATTATTATCATTGCATCTTAACTGTCCTTGCCTCTGGGATATAACATGTCAGGAGATAAGGAACATGGTCCCATCTGCTCTTCCCATGTCCAACATCCTCACATCTGTCACCTCAACCCCGAACAATGACTTCACACTCCATTTTGGCTCTAGCCTTCAGTAGCCAGGGTTTAAGATTCTTCAGCGTTCTTTTCAGTGCCTAAGCCACGCCTTGTTCAACTCTATAAAGTTGATAAGCACAGGCATGCTCTCCAAACATTTTCTTCTCTAAGCTGGCTCATCCATTCTCAATCATGGGCAGCCCCATGTGTGCTGGTTCCTGTGCGTCAGACCTCCTCCCTAATAGAGGGCAGGACTCCACCTTTCAACCATTCCAGCGAAAATTCCAAACACAAGACAGCCTAAATGAAGTACCCAAATCTTCATTTGTACCAGCTAAGACCTGAGCAGTCACACAGGCCCTACAGGGCCCTGCCATTGGTTTGATGTGCTAAATGCAAACTAATCTGAACAAATGGCTTGGCATTTTCGTTTTGTACTGCAGGTAAGGCAGCTGGTCCTGCTTACAGATGATGTTGCTCTGTTGACCATCTCTTTTTTTCCCTCTTCCTCCTCATAGCTATGCCTTCTACCAAAGTCTAACTCGGATTTTGTAGTATACTTCCTCCCGTTTTTAGCTTGCAAGAATTTTAGAACTTTCAAGTGAGCACTAACTCCTCTACAGCTGCCTTTCGGCCATTACTAAGCCAAGCTTGCTCTTCTTTGTTAGTTCTCCTCATCCAAGATACTCTGATAGCATTTTTAAATTTTTACAAAATGTTTATATCTTCTGAGAATTATGGACACAACACGTCCTCTGATGTTCTAAAAATTAAAATGAAATACGTCTGTATAAAGATGACAAGTTTTGAACTGAGTAAGCTGGGCTCTATTCCTTACCGCCCTCCACGCTGGCCTTATATATACCTGCGTCTCCCTGCAGTCAGCAGCCTAACCCAAGAGAAGATCTGTCTTCAGTTGCATGGGCACATTTGATCCAAGGAGAAAGAGTTAGGATGTTCAAATGGCATAAATTTGGGTTTTTGTTTTTTTTTTTTTTTTAGTCAATCATGAAGCTGCCATTTAGTGCTTCTCACCCCTGTGTTGGTGCCCTTTATTGAGGGGAGGAGGGGTCTAAGAATTCAGAGAGAATAGGTTATGATCACCACTATTGTAAACGCTAAAGGCTGCTGTATTTTTCACAAAACTTAAAATTTTATCAAAAGGACTGTGGTTTGGTCTATAATGAAGCATGTATGTAGTGGGTGTTGGGATTGGGAAACAGGCATCCCCAGGGGACCTGACATCAGGCATCTGTGAAGCCAACTCCAGAATCAGTGGCGACAGGACCACCTGGCAAATGGACCACCTGTGGCAAACACCTGTTCGTTCTGCACATGCACTGGCTCACCTTATAAAAGGACTCGCCCCTCCTTCTCTTTCTCTCCCTCTTTCCCCACCTCACCCAGAGACAGTCTCTGTGGCCCCTCCCTTCCCCTAATAAAACCTCTCATGTGGAACCTGTGGCGTGATTTATGAACCAGCCATATATCTCTGCCACACAACCCTAACACTGGGGTTTTCCTAGGGTCTTTGGGCTGAAATTTAAACACAAGTAGAAGATTGAGATTCCAGTACATCACTGTTACCCCACTAAGGCTTTTGCACAGTGACCTATTGTTTTTCATACATTTGTGACTAATTTTTGTTAAGAGATGCCTGCTCAACAAAGATAAGTTCATGGGATTGTTAAACTTACTGCATAGGCTTCTGCAGTTGACACCAATCTGTCCCATACCAGCAGAGACAGAATTAAAAAAAAAAAAAAAGGGAAGAACAGCGATATGAAGGTTCTTCCACACAGATAAAACAAGACGAAGAAAAGAAGCCTACTCTCAACTATTTTTTAGGTCAGTGCTTCTGCAAAGGACATAGAGACATCCCTACCAAATCCTTGATGGGGACTCACAGCAATAGCAGGAGAGGTGAGAGATTGGAGGATAGTGCTTCTGGAAACCTTATGTAAAAGGTGTGAAAGGCGTTAGTGGAATTGCTACTAAAGATCTGACATTTCTCACAAAGCAAGTGAGTTCAGGACAATTGTGACAACTTCACAGACGCCACAGAAAGGAGCATGAGCTCTTGGTGTCACCATTAGGCAGAAGTGATGGTGACTCATTCGTTGTAGGTGTACACCAGGAGACAAGATTTAACTTCAGTAGAATTGCTACTTTGGATAAGATAAGCTACTGTCTGTCATGAGTATTATGTAACAGACTTTTTAGCTTCTGGGTTTCTATCAACTAGATGTCAGTGGTGATTGTGACAATCAGAGATGCTTGCACAATTGCTTATCATCTCCCCATATAAAAAAAAGGTAGACCTCTTCCCGGTGGAGAACTACTATCCATGGGAATTTGCCAAAGACTTTCATAGAGTCACATCTTTGACTGTGGGCAGAACATGCAAAAAGATACTGATCTAGATACCATCAACGAACTAACTCCTTCCATGTGAATTTCATCAGAAAGGTGAAAATGACTGCATTATTTGAACAATAGATACCTTTTGCAGACTTAACAACATATTGCCTATATCTGTCACTCACAATGCAAAAATCCAGAGTAATATGCTACAAAACCAAATTCCTAAGCTATAAACAAATAAAAAGGCTCTATATTAAAATACAATGAAGTATGCAATTCTAAGAAAACTTAAAGAAAGGATGTACACAGAAGCCAGTTGAGGCTTACACAGAAAACCCACTTATTTCTTTCTCAAAGAGTTAGGAAACAACCCTTATAAAGAAAACAATGGATCAATTCTAAAGAGAACATTTTTCTCCTGTTTTGAAGCAGCACAAGATTGTCAAGGTTTAGGGATTGATAGTCTGTGGACACAAAGGTTGTGGGAAAGGTTACACAGTGGAAGGATCAATGCTTGCCAGCTCCTGGGATCATAGGCAGGGAACAGCTTAGAGCTCCAACTCAGTTAGCAATTTACGGAATCTGCTTCCACAGAACAGAACAGATGGTGAGCTGAAATGATGGTGAGCTGAAATACCTAGGAGGCAGGTCCACAGACCAAGCCACTATAAGGGGAGGAGCATGGGGCAGGGGCGGGGTTGGGAGGCAGCAAGTAAGCTAATTCTCATCAAAGGGAAGGAAGTCTGTGCCGCTATTGGACACTTGGCCAAGTCTGCATGGTGGACACATAGAACTGCAAAATGGGTTTAACAGTGCTAGGTGTGAATGAGGCTCACTTCCATTTACCTAGAAACTGTCAGGGCTAGCACTGATAAACTCTGGAAGTTTTTGGGTTCCAGAGAAAGCTCAGTTATCACTTTTAGAAGAAGGGGCATTGGTCTCTGCTCTGTGCCTACCCACTACCTAGAAGACTTCCCAGAAATGAGGTGAAGTTCAAAGGTTGTCATTTCAGAAAATTGGCATATACTGAGCATTCTCCAGGGAAACCAGAAACACAATTTTCACTCAGCTGGAACCAAATGGTCTTTTCTGTGGTGCTTGGCAACAGTATATGGATTCAAATTATACTAAGATATACTTACTGAGAGCTCAAGATTTGTCTGAGATAACTATTTTGGGTCCAAAGGATGAGATTATTTTGAAATTTTGGAATATGATGCTGGGTTTAAGATGTTTTATATGATCTTATAACTTCTAGGATTTTTTTTTAGACAGTAGGGTTCTCAAGAGAGATTTGATATTGAAATAATCTAACTTTACAAGGTCCTGAAATAATTCTATCCACATCCATAAAAGTAAAATAAAATAAAAAAGCCCATGACTGATCTATTGAAAGGACCCCAGACTATTCTTCTGAATAAGGTATGTCTGCTTAAGGGCAACTGAAGCTTGCTATTAGACTTCAATATTTTGTATAACTAGTAAGGGGAGAGTTTTTAATACCCAAATTATACTGCAGCAGATATTTTTAAAATCAGCTATTTAGACTCATTGCATAACTCCTGGGAAACTATTTTTACTCTTAGAGTTATTTTATTTCCTGCTTTGATTTCATCTATTTGAGACTAAATCACATTGCTTTTATTACCATTTTTCCCTGTTTCTTCTATTGTTTCTGACTCCATAGTTGCAGCCAGCTTTGGCTATTTAGCCTTTTCCTGCCCAATGTAAGCTACCTATTTTTTTGGCTGTGGTAACTTCTCTTTGCCTATACATATATGCCTGGTATCTCACAAGTATACAGTGCAAATTCCCGGCATGTCTGTGGCCGTGTCTGAGTGGTTCTTCTTCCTCTATAACTGACAGTAATGTGATGTAAATGAGCAAGTCTTTTGCTATAACAGCTTGCTGGGTGGAAGTAGGCGATTTAAATATCAGCAACCTACAGAATGTTCAGCTTCTCTGACCACAGGGTTGAGGGGCCAACATCAGCAGCCATCAAGAGACCTCCTGATAGCAGGTCATGTAAATCCTTTTATAGATGCACTATATTTTTTTTGCACCTCCCAAAAGGCTTTTTTATTCTGTTGGCTTTCCACCCAAGAACAACCATATGTATTGAGATCCTGCACTGAGACTCAAGCTCTTCCAGTGGTTTCTTTTAGTGGACCAATCAACGAAAGGCACAGGAAAAGAAACATCAGGAATGCTTTTATTTTGTTACTTTCTCCAAATCTTCCCCTCTAACTGTACACTTATTCCTGAGAGATTTATTATTCCACCTTGTATGATGTCACCATTCAATAATACATGTACAATTTTAAAATGGTCGTCAAAAATGAATGATTTTAAGTACTATTCAACAGTGGATTGAAAAATAATTTTTAATAAATATTTAAAGGAAATATTTTAAGGAAAATAAAATATTTAATCTGCTTATTGTTAAATCAATTTATTAAATGTAGCTTAGTATATGTAGTAGGTAGGTATCTTTTTAAAGTGTCAGGTCACATTTGCTTAAAAAGCATAATAAAATAAAAGCATTTGGACATTCTCTGGTGTACAATTATTCAACAAATCTATATGAAATGTCTACTGGGTGCTAGATATTATTCTAGGTTCTGAGGATGTAGTTGTGAAAAAGCATAAACTAAAATGCTAGCTTAACTGGGAATCACATCACAGTGATATGTGGTGTTTACGAAAACAGGGCACTTAAATAAAGGCCACCATCACTGACCTCACATGGAATTTCCCCTGGAAGCACTAGAGCCTGAGGTACAGATGGTCTTGAAGTTTCCAAGTCATCAGTTTGCTTCTGTCCACTTGTTTTCTCAGAATAGTTTGCTCTTAAGTCTGTTTGAATGCTGACTTCAAGGTAGTCTTCAGGACCTGGAAAAGTTTTCATAAATGCATGTTACTATCATTCCATCCCCTGCTAAAAGACCAAGTGCTGTAGAATAAATTTCATCAGTACAGAACTGAGGCTAGGACAATTTGAAACAATAATCTTAATTATTAAGACAATATTTCTTGATTAAATACTATTGTAACAGTTGTGACTAAGCCACATCAGTTATATGATTATATGTTCGTCTGCTTGTCAAATGTTCACAAAATTCCAAATATCACAGTTTTTTATTGCTATTAATAAACCAGCAGAATATTAGAAAATTCATTTCCCATGACAATTATAAAGAAAAAGTTCAGTTGGAATAATTTAAGCCGAAGTAATAACTTGTATATACATATTCAAATTTCTGAGAACTAATTATAAGCTCGGAAAGGCTATTCCATCTGTAATCCCAAAATTTTCGAGAGGGAAAAGGTAGTTATGATAAAAGTTCAAGTCCAGCCTGGGTTACATAATGAGTTCCAGGAGAGGCTGGGCTAAACTATAATTATAGAACAAGTATTAAGTAAAATAACTGTCCCTACTAGGTTTAATGTTGGAATACACAGCTGGCTGGATGACCTAGCAGTTCAGAGCCCTTATTGCTGTTCCAGAAGACCCAAGTTCAGTTCCAGCACTCTATCTAGCAGCTCACAACTTCCTGTGACTCTAGCTCCAGGGTATCTGCTGACTTCTGGCCTCCTTAGACACTCATACATATGTGCATCTCCTTACACAGATACATGTGCACAGAAATAAAAATAGTGAAATATGGGTGTTCATAATTAGTTCCATTCAATTCAAATGAATTATCTATGGAAAAATCTAGGAATAATGAAATATTTTAGTATGGTTTCAGAGCTTAAAGATGGGTAAAGTGACTGGTGTTTGCCTTGTTTAACATACAGTAACAGCACTTACTCTCAGTTATCCATTGTTCTCAGTTGAAGAAAAAAGGTGATAAATAATGAGCCCCCCCTTTTTAACTGCACATTGTCTTAATACCTAAAGTGTATTTATTCAGATCATTTTGGAATTGGGATTTTCAGAATGAGGTCATATCTGTAACTTTTAGAATCACCTCAAAGTATCACTCATACTCCACCCCCCAAAAATGGGGGGGGGGATTGCAAAATAAAAAAGGTGTCACTACAAAAACTGGACTGGGAAAGTGAAAAAAAGCTTGGCTTTCCAGCATGGGGTCTTGCTTTTGTATTGATGAAATCTTTATGTCACCAGACAGGGCTATTGTGCCATTATAAAGACAGTGTCAAGACCATGTCACAAAAGTCAACAGTATCCAGCTCATCAAAGATAACCAACCATCACCAATCCCAGCCAGTATGAGTGACTGCTTCTTTCCTATTCCTGCATTTGTGTCTTTTCTTCTGCCTTCAGATAGGGGAAGCCACCCTTCCCAGTTTATACCTAGGAGTTTTTTGGCTTCGGTGCTGAAAATACCATATGCCAGGAAACCCTCTACCTCACCTCAGTCCAAACAAACTGGAGCAGTTGTCTTCCTTCTAAGTAAAGTTGTTAATATGTAAAACCATAGAATTACACTGTGACAGATTAGAGGGACCCAACTCTTCTCGTGGGTCTTTAGCCAAGAATTTTGCACTGCTAGGTACTGTTAGGAATAGCGTTGCTACTGGTATCTCTGTTCGCTTTCCCTGGGAATAAACAAAACTGACTCCAGCAGGCATCTGGCCCCTTAAATGGCTCCTAACAGATCCTTACCTTATGGAGGTTGCTATGAGTATGGAGCTTTCAACTATATTACACCCCTCTAGGTGACCCAATCTAAGGTCATGATGGTCACCTGGCTGCTTTGAACATTTCAAAGATGACCGGAGGAAGTTCAAGCTGCCGTGGGAACACTGGAACCGCCAATGCTGATGCCACTTCAGCAAGAGTCATGACGTTATCCATACCTAAGTACTCCAGCCTTCAGTGGCTAGAAAACTTATCTTTATACTTGATAAGCTCTGTTGAGGTCATCTGAGGCTGTTCCAATGTTTCCTCGCCCTAGCTGCTTTCGATCATGTCATAACATGACATGCTCTAGTAAGGTAAGGGAGATGGGGAGTAACACCCTAGTGAATCAGCAGACAGTTTATGATCAAAAGGAAAAAAAAGATCTGGCCTATATGAGGCCTGTGGTTGGTATGGAATCTGTGAGGATTAAACTGTAACGCATGCCATGATGGATGGAATTATAATCTTAGCACAGGTGTGTCCTGGCTTTCTTAGCTGTATTAGGAGCTACTCTTTTGGAGGCTTATCACCTACATATTGATGTCACCCTTACCTCCAGCATTGGAATCATTAAGTTGCCAACTAAATCAGTTGTTCTCAACCTTCCAAATGTAATACAGTTTCTTGTGTTGTGGTTACCCCGCAACCATAAAATTATTTTCATTGTTATTTCATAACAGTAATTTTGCTACTGCTATGAATTGTAATGTATCTATGTTTTCCAGTGGTCATGGTGACCCCTGTGAAAGGGTAGTTTATTTCTCAAAGGGTCACGACTCCACAGCTTGAAAACCACTGTCCTAAATGGTTTTTTGTGGCCACTTGTCTTATCACAGGCAGTGCAGAGAAGACTCCAGTCGCTTCCAGAACTAGATTTGGCAGCATTTGGGAGGAAGAAAGACTGTTTCTCCAACCAAGGACCATGTATGGATATAACCTAGAACCCTTGCTTGGATGTAGCCCATAGTAGCTCAGTATCCAAGTGGGTTCCCTAGTAAGGGGAACAAGGACTATTTCTGACATGAACTCAATGGCTAGCTCTTTGACCCACCTCCCCCCCAAATCAAGGGAGGAACAGTCTTGCTAGGCCACAGAGGAAGACATTGCAGCCAGTCCTGAAGATACCTGATAAGCTAGGGTCAGATGGAAGGGAAGGAGGACCTCCCCAATCAGTAGACTTAGAAAGGGGCAGGGAGGAGATGAGGGAGAGAGGGTGGAATTGGGAAGGAATGAGGAAGGAGGCTACGGCTGGGATACTAAGTAAATAACCTGTGATTAAGATAAAAAATAAAAATTATAATAAAAAATTAAAAAAAAAACTATATGGAATATTTGCTATACAAACAAAAGAGGAGAGCTGTGAGTTAGGTCATGAGAAAAAGAAAAAAGAAAAACATTTCTGAGAACCCAGGAAAAAGGCCAGAATATCCAGAGCTCAGAGAAAGAGGAGGCACTGTAAAAGGATTCAGAGTGGCTGAGCGTAAAGGGCCAGAAGCTAAGACCACTAAGAACTGGGAGCGTATTGAGAAACAGAGACTGTGAGCATCCAAAGGTGGGATGCCCTGAGACTATGAAGACTGACAGTCCCCAAAGCTGGAGGTGTAAGAGGGCTACCAAGCTTTCAAAAGCTTGGGGTTTCAGTATCCAAAGTCCAGGAGCTGGAACTCTTAACTAACTGTTCAGTATTGTCAGCTGAAGCCTAAACCAATAAGCCTATGCCCTAATAATCTAAAACAGTGGTTTCCAACCTGTGGGTTGCAACCACTTTCGGGGTGAAATGACCCTTTTATAGGGTTTGCTTAGGACTACTTACATATTAGATATTTATATTATTATTCAAAACAGTAGCAAAAATACAGTTATGAAGTAGCAATGAAAATAATTTCATAGTTGGGGTCATCAGAACACGAGGAACTATAATAAGGGGTCTCAGCATAGGGAGACTGAGAACCACTTACCTAAAACAATATGTCTTTGATATTAAAAGATTAAAACTATATACCTTTAGTGCTTAAAGGCTGAGAGCTCTAAGCTTCTGAGCTTAGAAGCCCAGGTATAAGGCCCACAACACAAAAGATGTTGCTTAATTCCTATCTCTGCGTATACTGCCTGCTTAGAGTATTCTAGAATGTAGTGCTCTAGGCAAATCGGCTGTCATCTTCATTAGATCTGCTGTGCCTGTTTGCAGGAAAAGATCTTGACCATCACTAGCTAACCTGTCGGTACCAACGTTCCATCACAGAAGAAGTGACTGGGAAGCCTGGGCCACTCCCTCTGCACTTCCCATTTGCATACCGTTCTGCCCTAATTGCTTGTGGTATCTGGGTCTCAGTCAGTACTAGGTATGCAGGCTGGCAAAGGTCCACTGAAAGGGAGAATATCAGCTGTGGGGAAGCCATAACCCATACTGGCCAAAGACATTCTGATAAAGTTGCTTTGGAGTCCCCCATGTTCCCATAAATAGCCCCTCACATAAATTTTATAAATAATCCCAATAAACTCATTGATTCCCAAAGGTGTACTTAGCTGGAATCATACTTCAGTTTGTCATCATTAGGCATTTTAAGGAGGAGGTAGATGCTTATGTCTCTCCAGGGAAAGAAGCTTTCCACCTTGGAGTGAAAGGACACCTATCCAACCATTTGTGACATTTTCTGGGACAAGCAATTTATAGTCCTATCTGCTTGGCTCTCCTGCAGTTCCCGTAACTCCTGTCTAATTTTATGTTCTTTTCTAATCCATTTGTACTGAGAAACCTCATGGTTATCCATGGTGTACTTCTCTTCATTACAATAAATGTAACATCCAGATAATCAAGGAAAGGGAAGGGAAGTTCTTGGTAGTCTTTGCCTAAAGGGAATGAAAATGGAGAAGAGTCAGAGGTAGTGATGGCTAGGCAGCGTTAGAGTCCCATTTTCTGGCAGATAAATAGGACAGAAAGTAAGTTCCACAGAGCCTTATAAAAACCCTTACAAAATTAGCATATGGAAAAAAAAGTTGGCAGAGAAGACTGGAGCCTCACACACAATAGGTGTAGAGGTACTTCACAGTTTTCAAACGTAACTTGTGATAATATGAGAAACAAATTGTTGTCACTGTTGGTGTTTCCTTTAAAGGTGTTCAGCCCAATAAAGGTCTACGTCCTGTACCTCCCCCACACAGATCACTCAGTCTCACCAGATTGTGAAATCGAGCTACTGGAGTGGGCTGGGACACAGCCGTCACTTATGTCAGTGATAAA